GAAAAAGGGTCCCTCTTCAAGTGTGGCTCCTGGACTTCGCAAGGACCAATCCTCAAACATTCCAATCCTCTATCTCGCTGTTTCTGTGGCCAAGGTTCCGCGGATCTTTGAGTCGACATCCCAGCCAACATGGCCCATGCAAAAGCAAGTTGCTGCGTCCGTTTAGACACGGCACCTGGACCTTCAGGTTTTGACATGCACAGGTTTGTTGCTGCTTTGCTTTTGGCTGTGTGGCTCAATGTGGCGCAAGAGTCCTGCAGCAAACACGTCATGTTAAGCACTTCAGATGATTGTTGTTTTGCGAGTTATGAGCACAGGGGTTGTGAATCATGGGTGGGCCTGCTGATGTGGGCACCTGTGGGTGCGAGCCTGCAGTTTGTGCGTGCGCTGTGTGCGCCCAAAAACCAAAGATTGCCCGCAGATGGTGGTCCAGTAACCAGGTGTGCGAGCAGGCCGGAATGCCAGCCAGGCTCTGGTTGCTTTGAGGCGCGAGTTGGTGTGAAATGTGGCCGGCCTAGGTTGCATTGGGATAATTTTCTAACTGTCGGGCAAGGGTTCGATTGTAGGGGTGGGAGGAAGGCCATGCTGTGATCGGCTTCTGGAAGAATCATGTCGACGCTTGAGGTGGACAGGCTTGAAGCACAGACCTTAGCATCTCGAGCGTGTTGAAGTTTGCACAGTACCGGCTTGCGTTTTAGTCGACGAAGCTGTGAAGGATACACGAACAGGTTCCGCTTATGCGCTGACCGGCTCTCATGCTACCCCGTCGTGGAAAGCCAGTGTGGTGACAGCAACGTGCATCGACAGGGGGTAACCACACGATCGTAGAATCGCAGTCGTGGTGTGCTGCTCGTTTAGTTTCCAAGAAGTATCCGTAAGTGTAAATGAAAGGTATCGTCACAACCCTGCTGTTTTTGTGCAAAGCCTTCTTGCCTTGACGATTTGGGGGATCACATCAGTTTTGATATTTCCCGACAAAACCCAACTATATCCCAAAACAAGGCGCGCAAGCACGCAAACCCCAAGTCGCCAAACTCCCCAAACCAGTGCATGTCTCAAAGCTGGAGGATCCAAATCTTTTAAAACCCCTGCTGAGAGAACAGGCGACTCCCCGCGCCCTCTTTCCGGGTCTCGGTTTAGTATAGGGCTGCTTGGCTGCTCGTGACGAGCGAGGGTCGTGAAGGCACATCGACATGCGCGCTTTGTTTGTTTCACGTTGTGTTTTGTGGAGTTTTCTATTTTCGGACCAGGCAATTTAGAACTGTCGCGGCAGTCTGCCGGCGAGCTGGAGACGAAGTTCGCTGCAAGATGCCAGGTTCGCGTGGGATTTCGGTTTCGTGCGCTGCAAACATCCGATGTGCTTCATGCTTACTCTTACATTGACAATGTAAATGAACCTCGGGCAGAGTGAACAAGAATGTCGAATGTCGGAAGGATGGCCAGAGTGTTTCCTGCGGGGAGCTTTTGGCCTCACAGTCGGAAGTCTTCGAGAGAGCGTTGTTCACTTCGACAGGCGATGAGATGCTCAGTCTGCTAAAAGGAGTTTAGTGGGCAGAAGAGTTGGGTTTCGGCGCTGCAGGGCCTCATAAGCTTCAGGTCGTTTGACGGGCTCCTGCAGCACCCTGCATGTTGATTCTCAGGTGCTGCGCACAGCATCGCTTTGGACTAAGGGTTGTTGCCAGGCTTGCCGAAGTCTAACATGTGATGAGCTTTTGTATGCATTATGCATTTGTGTGCATGGGCGGTGCAGCTGCAACTCAGGATGCGTGCTGGCATCGTGACACCTGGTCCATGCTACGAGCTGCAGCACTCCGTGTGGGACGCTTGTTTGTGTATTGGCCTCCCGGCGCTAAGCAAGTGGGACTCTTTCATTGCGACCCTTCTCGTTCTATTGAACATAACCACCCAGATGGGTTTTGTGGCTGTCGTTCAGATGCACATGCTGGAAGATGTCCTCAAGCCGGATCAGCTAAATCAGCTGCTCCGATTCAGGGCCGATGTTGCCCACGATGTGAAGTACGCAGACTTGGGCGGAGGTCGTTCCCTGGCAAGGCGTGTGTGCAGTCAAGACGATTCATTACAGTTAGCAAATGCCCAGACCGGGCTAGTCACTGACCTTTACAACTGCAGCACCTTCGGTCCAGTTCTGGCTCTGCTGGCCATCGGATGCTGGCTCATGACCACACTGCGGGAGATTTTTGACATCCTTGGTTTTATTGGCGCCGTACAGACATACCCTGTAGGTGAGACGACGCAGTTGTCGACTGAGGTTGGCGAAGATGATGCTGTCGAGAAGGCGGCCACGATCTCACAAATATCGCACAGCAGGAAGGACATGTTGCTTGCTCTTGTGATCGTGCCACGTTTCGTGGTGGCTGCTGTGCTCATGGTAACTGGCACGAGATATCTTGCAAATACACTCAGCCTAGCGGACCTAATCTTGAAAGCCGTTGCCTTGGCTTTCATATTTGATCTGGACGAGTTGATCGAGTCTGCTTTTATGCCACGGCGGGCGCGCTTCCTGCTGGATAAGCTGAGCACACTTCCGATTTCTCAGCCGCGAATGCCGGGGTTGGGGCATGTCAATGCCGGACTATTAGATCGTGCACGAAACTTTATTAAACTCGCTCTGCGGCTTGTTGGTCTGATGTTGTCGTGGTACTTGCTTCTACAACCCCTGCAGAACACAACGCAGTTGGCTCTCAACATACTCTGCAGCGGCAGGCAGGACTTCATCTATGCTGTAAATGCGGCCACTGGGATCATCGAGGCTGTGCAAACATTTTCGGAAGAGGCGCCGCTGACCTTCAGCACCGAGCAGAGGAGTGTGCTCGAGCTGGCGAACCTTGATCTATACCATATGGAAGGTTTATATCCAGAAGCTATGAGCATGGAGCAGATAAGAGACTTTGACGACACACCCGTATTGCAGAAAATCCAGCAGGTGCTCCTGCTGGAACGGAGCGACGTCGCAGCTGCTGCAGACAACTTACCATGCACTGACTCTGCCTTCGCTGAAAATCTCGTCAGACCGCGGCTACGTAGTGTTACAGATAGCCGAGTAGACAGCTGCACAGCCCTTGCTTTGCAAAGCGATCTCTGCGCAAAGTACAACCTGAGCAGTGTTCGCGCGCTCTGCCCTCAGACCTGTGGTTGTGATGATCCCCTGGAGCCAGCAGCAGGTGCCTTTGCCACGGTGCCCTTCGGCTGCCCCAAGAGGTGCAGCCCTGTTAGGGATAACTCAGCGAGGCTTCGCCATGCACCTTGCGAGGATTGGACGGTGAACGAACTGGTCGAGAGCGAATATGTAAAGCGATATCTGACAGGTGCGTTTAGCATTAATTTCATCTCGGATGAGACGCTGTCTGCATCAGTCCTGCTATACACCGAGACGCTCAAGCGTAGGCACTCCAAGGGCGGAGCTGGACATGTTCGTCTCGCTTCGACCACAATGTCCGGTGACTTGCGGCTGCCATGCAGATCAGCAAGAATGTCCTGGAACCTGCCCTTTGATTTAAAGAGTGAAAAAAGCCCGGATTCGTCAGACGCAGTCGCTGCAGTCGGTGCTGTCTGTCACCAGAATTGTGTGTTACGAGTGGAGGCATGTAGCAAGATGTGATGGAGAGACTTGGTTGTGCTTCCCGCCGCTTGGGGCTTTCAGAGGGGAGGCCTGGGTCAAGTTCCTGAACTCCTGGGGTGCGGCTCTGAGCTCAAGTTGTTTGCGTTTCTGCGAGAGAACCTGACACGTTTTTGGTGTACGCTGAAGACGGCCCGCTCTCTGCATCCAAGGCCATGACAGAGAAAGGCTTTCGGATAGCTTCGCAGGCAACATGGTTTGTTTAAGAGCAGCGACGAGGGTTTGTGTTCGTGCGAGGGTTTCTGCTCTTTTGACGGAGATTTGCTAAATTCTGTGAAATACGTGATGAGTTCTCCGTGTTGCATGAGAATCTGAAGGGGAGAACGCCCGACCTGTGACAGTTGTGCGAAGATGTCCCGAGGGAATTTAGCAGTCTAAGTCGCACCTCACGAAGATAGCAGTCACATTTGCAATAAGAAAGATGAGGAGACGCTTGTTGACAGGTCAACAAGGAAGGATGGGAAAAGGCCCAGTCCGCGCCTTGATCTTCATGTCATTGCTGACGGGGCAACGTTGACATCTGTTTGTCGGCAGAGCTCTCATCGACATCACCATTGGTTGTAGGTAGACCTCGCCAGCTCTTGTGGGACAACAGAAGTTATTCAGTGCCGAGGTTCCCAATCCTCTGTGAAACATGCCTCGGAGACAATCCTTATGTGCCCGACTCAGCCCTGCAGTGCACGGTGGGTCCTTTCAGGAATCGTATTCTCTTCACACGGCCTTGCCGTGCTTTGCGCAGGTTCGGATGCAGAAGGAGGATTACGGTGTTGAGTGCAAGATTTGTGCACGAACCTTACTCGGACTCTCCTGGGGCTGCGGCACAGAGTATGCGCAACATTCCTGAGGCTCGGCCTTTCACGATCTTTAGATGGAAAGCTGGCACACAAGGTCGATACAAGGCCAGTCTTTAAGATGTGTTCAGGGGAGCCAGATCTAAGATGCCGTTTGGGTCTTTTCTGTGGCAGGCCACGGTTGTGTGTCCTGGACTCGGGGGCCACTGGAGTCTCTCTGTTGTGCCTTGCAATTTGACCTCGGAGGGATTTCAGAATCGCTAAGGTCAAAGCTGTGCAAAGGTCAAGAATGTGTGTCAGTCGGCATCTTACATAAGTGGCTGTAGATGAGCCATGGAAGCCTACTGCTCTTCTTCTCGTTTGGCTTCTGCTCGTACCGGTCCATCTGAAAAGTTGCAGTGCCGTCATTTCGCAAGAGAAGCGTGTGGAATTGTTTTATGACAGCGGTGCGCCCAGAGGCAGCCAAAAGTCTCAGATCTGCGATGTGCATTTGTTAGTGCATGCTGCAAGAACTGAGGACATGCTTGTTTGATCTGGAGTTTGGCCTCCCCGTGCAAGTGAGAGACAAGTTTATGGAGGAGCTGACAGCGCTTTCGCAACTGGAAGCAGTGAGTTTAAGATGTTTAAGTTGTCCAGAGCTTTCTTGAAGGTCAAGCTGACTAAAACCGACTTCCCAAGTCTGTATCTCACCAACCAAGCAGGAGCTCGGCGCAAGCAAGGTTCAGCTGCCGCACTCTCGAGTGGGCCTGGCACTTGGAAGCGATTGTTCGTCGGACTCTCCTTTCGCTTCGTAGAACCTGCGCACTGCGTGGATTTTTTCAAACTGTGAACATGTGTGCGACCTGCCGACGTTGCATACCACAGAGAATGCTGAAGACGCCTGACAATTGAGGCAGAGATTATCAGCTGCAGAATGCGCAGAAGGATCCAGACGGTGAGGACATCGGGTTGAGTTTGTATGTCAGAACATTCAGAACCGCAGACTTGTTTTCGCACGTCCACAGATTTATTGCCGACTCATAGTGTCAGAAAGCACTGAATGGCGTGCAGGATCTGCCTTACGGCAAGGTGGGTGCACATCCGATGCTGCAGAGGTGCACGTGCAACTTTGGGCGGTGTTTGGGTTGCCCTGCCCGCAGAGATACCCAAGGCTGTGTGGCCGTTTACACGCTTCATGATTTAAGGTGTCTAGGTGCGTCCTAGTAAAGCGACTTGCAAAGAGCTTGAGGCATTATGGCTAGTTTCGAGTCGCACTCGTGTGAGAAGAGCTGCCAGGTTGGCACGGATGACCCCATACTACAAGCGAAACGAGGCATTGTAGCGAGATGCATACACGCAAGAGAATGGCCACAGGTCGTAGGTTGGACAGTTTGCGCGGCGAAGCTCAGGGCGCCTCTGGCAAGAGAGCGAGCCACCTGCTGTAAGGCAAGAATATGCACCTTCTACGTGAAGGGTGCCTGCAATAGAGGCCTGTGCATGCTCTGAGAACTTCTTGAGATGACTGCAACCGCAGCTCGCTGTGATTTCAGGTGCAGATTGCCCCTTCAGGCACGAGCTCCCGCAAGGCGGTGACCTAGCCAATCAGAAACTGCTCGGATCTTACAGGACGATGCTGGGATTGGTTAGAGTGCTTAAGTGCTGCCGTGCCAAAGGCGAGATCGTTTCCATGGGGAGAACGACCCCTTGGCAAACAAGATCATCCGTAGAGCGGAGGAGGCCAGGACTTTTATCCTGAGAGAGAGTTGACACTCTGCAAGCCCGTGGAATCATGAGTATCCGGACCCTCAGTGGAAAGTAGTATGGGCCTTGAGCGCAGTGCTCGTCGGCTTGCCGGTTCCACATGTCTGTAGCAACAAAGCTGAAGCCACTGGAATTGGGGCTTCAGTTGTCCTGAAATCCTGAGCCTTCTCTTGACTTGTGCCCCAACGGAAAAGCAAGGAAGCTCGTAGTCAAGGCTCATTTCCTCGAGGGTCCATGTGGGAGTATCCTGCTTGAGAATCCTCGTGCAAGGGTTTTGGGAAAAGACCCTTTGATCTTACGGACTCTCTCTTTTTGTCTCCCTCGCTCCCTCGCTCCCTCGCTCTCTCGCGCGCTCACTCGCCCCTTTGCTCTGATGCGGTTCTAAGGATCCAGGACTAGATTCCGTCCACTCTGGCTGCATTGGTGTTCTGCACAAACGACGCAGGACCTCACATTAATGCCGCCGGAGGACAAGGCGGTGACGACGCAGGGATCTCAATCGTTTTGCTAGTTGATTCTGTGTTCTGCCTGGAATATCCTTCGCGTGCCAGCAGACTGACAGACTCCTTTTGACGTGAGGCTGTATCTTGGTGGACTACCACCTGGAGCCAAGGAGAAGGCTCGAGTTTTGTATTGGAGAAGCGAGGCTTTAGGAACCTACCGGTCGCGATTCTCACCGGACGGCTTCGTCTTCCGTAAGCCACCTTGTGAGAAAAGGCACGCCCATCTAATCCTGGACCTTCAAGGGAATGTCCAAGAACTACATGTAGCCGGAGCCCGGTAAAGAAGATCGACCAGGACATCCGAAATCAGTTCTACGTTTTTGGAGAGCGTGGACCCAAGGCTCATGCAAGTCTCTACAGCAGGTTGCTCTACATTGCGGCTATGCGTTTGGTGTGTATGTTCTCCCAGAAGCCACTTTCCATGCTGCTGGCGGACAAGGATTCGCAGCATCAGGATGGCACCGAAGCAGAGCTGTGCCTTCGTCACCTTCGTGAAGCGAGAGGCTGGACATGGTGGTCAGTGGTCAGGGGATGTCAGGGGATGCTGGTACTTGCATGTGCTGGCCGAGAGGGCCCGGTAAGATAGTGATGGTGCAGCAAGTGAAGGTGGCAGAACAGGCTGCCAAAAACACACACAAGATCCTCAAGATCAACGCGTCGGCCTAAGCATTCCTGCTTTTTGCCTCCAGCGGTGCTGCCTGAACCTCGTATCTCATTGTTGCATGAGGGAAAGAACGTCAACGTGACCTGGGGCCGACCACAGGCCGGACTCGGGAGCTTTCATTTCTACAGAGGCTAGATCGAGTCTTATGTCGCTATCGTTAACTTGAAAGCCAATCTTAGTGGCAGTTGCAGCAGATCATTGGAGAGTAGGCCGTGCAAGGCAAAAGGGAGAGCATGGGAAAGCTTTTTTCTGCTTTTTTCTGCTGTGAGGGATTTGAAGTGGCTGAACATCTCACGGTGGCTTTAGGTGTCCAAAGAGAAAGAGGCATCTGCAGCAGTGGCCGCGGGGCAGTTGTCTTAGCAACAAGTGCCTGAGCAATTTTTCCTGTGCTGTTGTGTTGAGGATTTTCGCATCTTGTTGTAGGTCGGCGCCGCCAGCGGCTGGCAACACGCACCGCCCTCACAGCGCAAAGGATGGTGGATCTGGAGGGCCTCCCCAGCTTGCTTTGTCACTGGTTGATGCTCAGGTACAGGCCATACTATCCGTCCATGGACCCATCAGCACAGGGCAACGCGCCCTTGCAGGGCGAGGCTGGTTGACTTTTTCGGACCGCTGACCCTTTGGCACTGCCATATGAGCAGTCCCAAATCGTTTGGCGCAGGCACCAGATGAGCGCTCCATTCCGAAATGAGCAGCCGGGTCCAATGGAGCCGTGGTGAATGTCAATGTACCTGCGACAGGGCTCCAACAACCGTCACACCAGCTTTATCGCTCAATCAGACCTGTGCTGATGGAGTTCAGGAAAGCCGGAAGCCGCAGGATCTCACCTCAAATTCGCAGATAAAGCTTTGGCTTCATTTGTTCTCGTCCGGGTTTGAGATACCTATCCACATATATGATGCAGGGTAGTCGTCTTGTTTGGCCTTGTTGCTTTCCCCGTCTTGCTGGGTGGTCTTGTTTGGCCTCGTCCCCTCCCCCCCTGTGGAGTGGGGCCTGTGGTCTTTTTGCCCCCCGCCCGCCTGTGGGGGGCAGTGTGTTTCCACAGCGGTATGGTATGGTTGCTGCCGCTTGGTAGTAGCAATGTCATCGGTACGTGCCGTGTCCACTCCCCCCTGTGGGGTGGGGCCTGTGGTCGTTTTGGTTGGCCCCGCCCCGCCTGTATGGGGCAGTGTGTTCTACAGAGGTAAGGTATGGTTGCTGCCGCTTGGTAGCAGTAATGTCATCGTTACGTGCTTGTCACCATACAAAATTTGATGTTGCTCTTTTCTCCTTGCAAGCGGTGCCCCTGTCCCTGCTCTGATGCAGTTGTCCGCTATGTGAAGAAGAACTGGCTGGGATCATTCTCCATCGTCCTCCCTCTCTTTGGTTTGCGTGGGTTCGTTCCGGTTGTGGGACCGCTGCTGGCACGGGAGGTGGGCCGGGGGCGGGGGGCCGGGGGGGGATACCATTTGGGGGGGGCCCGAGAGCATATATTCGCGCATCGTCGTATCGATAAATCAGGCCTGCTGGCCCTCTGTCTTCCCAAGAGCTCATCGAAAGGGGAAGATAGATTCAGCCAGCTAACAATATTTGATCATATTTTTTGTTTTCCGGATTTGATATCGTATATCCACCACGAAAGAATTAATCTACTTATATCGAGCCAAGAACTATCTCCGAACAACGAAAATTAGAAATTAGAGTATTTTGAACGAAAGATTTGCTGAAGAGAGAATTGGGATGGTAAAATATGATATTGATATGATACTGATATCGGTAGAAATTCAAAATTAATCACATGATATTGCATGATATATATATATAGATATGTATAATAGATTTTTTCTTCATATACGCTTGCGAAATAAATCTCCGACTGATAAGAAATTCGTCAATATGAAACCTCTATTCGTTATAAATGATCTGAAAATACGATAGATTTTTT